TCGGACCGTTTTAAATATATTTTATTTTATCGGGTCAAATAAAATATATTATGTGTTCTCCATCATTATGAACCTTTTAACGAATATTCATTCCCCCAAATTTAATTTGTAAGTCCCCGAAATCCAAATTTCGGGCTTTTATCGGTTAAATTTCCAATACCGGTATTTGGGCCTCTTTTGACCAATCGGTCAACTCTGGACCTTTCCATGGATCAAATGAGTTATCCACCACCATATAAATATTATATAGACCAAGATGAATAATTCATGTGGTCCCGGGAATATCGGGCGGTCCCCGCTCCCGGTGCGGGCCCCACGTGCGAATTTGCTATTCGTGCAAAAAGAAATATTAAAAATTCACCACCTCGTATACTCATTAACCATTTCATAAGGTTCAATACAATATACTCTTAAAAGTAAATACATTTGGGGACGGCGCTACATATACACTCATAGGTATATGGGTGGGTTGGGGTTTTTAGTCAAGAATATTGACTATTACTATTTTTCCCAAATAAAAAGGTGATCTACGGATCGGATATTTTCCAAGTATATATATATATACTAAAAGTATTTCATAACTTGGGGGAAAGACTATTTATTTAAGTATCACCCTATGTTTGGGTCTTATACTTGAAACGCTAGTTATTCTATATTTAGCCTGCTACTCGCTCGGTACTTGTACTGACCCCTTCGGGGGGGCCCACCATTTTCAGGTTGAAGCTAGGGCTTGCTACTTGCACCTTCTCACGGGTGATATCAAATCAGGAAGACGTGGTTCGTGCTTCCTTATTTTCTTTCAAACTACCGAACACTTGCTCATGGATATTTGTTTTACTATAAACTATTTTTGGGGCTTGCATGCCCATGTTGTTGGCCGGTTGTGGCCCATGATTTACCGTTGAATATTTCCGCTATTCATTGGTTTAAATGTGATGTTGTTATGTATGTTTACTACTGGGTATGGATGGATTGTTTTCTCGAACGCCTTGTGTAATTAAGTGAGGTTGACTCGTGGGTGACGTCACTTAGTTATACGGCGGTTGTACACGCGCTTGGATTGCGGTCTGGGGCGTGACAATTTCACCCTCCATTTATGGTGAAAACTCAAATTTGGCATGAAAAACAAAAGGGAGAAGAAGTATCCATCTAAGGACAAAGTTAAAACTAAGAAAAGTGTAAGGGTGTGACACCGCACCCGAGCGTCCTTGAAATTCAAATTTAAATGCAAAGTTTATACTTTGAATTTCCATTTACCAAACAATTGTAAGACAATTGTTGTTTTATGTAACGCATGTTTGATCATTTTACCGTTGAGCTTGTATATTAGTGATGGGCTTCAAATACTTATTTGGGGCCATATTATTAAATATAAGAGCCCAACATTATGTAAATGATGATGCATAACCTTTTGATACAAATTAAGGAAGGTCGGGCAGCCCAAACATTATTTTGGGTCCAACCTGCTAAAAATAGTAAGTATTCAAGAAGGGCGTTTGAGGCCCACTCGAGGGTGACCCACACGGCTTGTAGCCCATGAACATAAATACAAAAGTCACAAAATAAGTGATAGAATGATTACATAAGAATACAAATGCCTATGGTCCCATCTTCGACATTATTGAGCTAAATTATGGGAGTATGATTTTTCCTTCTATAATGTTCATCATTTTAATTATTGGGATGATCCAACACATATTGGGGATCAATATATGATGTATGTAGTTGACTTGGCCTACATAAATTATAATGAGTACAAAAAGACATCTCATGACAAAGATAAAACAATAGGGTCCATCTTTTCCTTCTATAATGTTCATCATTTAAATTATTGGGATGATCCAACACATATTGGGGATCAATAATATGATGTATGTAGTTGACTTGGCCTACATAAATTATAATGAGTACAAAAAGACATCTCATGACAAAGATAAAACAATAGGGTCCATCTTTTCATTTTGGAAGTATTGGTATGTATTTTGGACCCCAAATTGAATGAGATCATTTGGGAACCATCCCACATGACCTTGGTACTTGCAAGACAAAGAAAAATTGGTGAGACAACTATGTGGGGCGGACATTTTGACTTAAGAGCTACAACATTACAAAAAGGAAATAAAAGAGGAGGTCCACACCATGTTTGATTGCAATCAAACACCCTACCCTTTCTTTTTGTGAACCACATGCTTAGATATCATTTTGAGAGCTCCTAAACACCTCCCCCTCACCCCCCCATTCGAACTGAAATAGATAAGATAAAAGGGAGAGCCTCACACTCAAAAGGGAGAGAGATAAGAGAGTTGGCCGCAGGGATAATCTCTAGTTCGTGGAGCTCACTGTTTGGTTCGTATCTTGAGAAATACTCATCCAAAAAGGGCGTGTGAGGTGTCCACTGAAAGCTCTCAAGAACAGGGATCCATAGACGTGCGGTGTGAAAAGAACAAAGCAGTTTAAGGCCTCCAAATTGTCCAAACAAAACACAACCTCGCAGAATACGTTTTTGTATTCAAAGTAAGTTTGAATCCAAACCTTCCTCTCTATTGTCTAAATCATATGAATGATTGAAGAACTATTATAAACTGGTTGAAGTGTATAAAATATTATTATAAAGTGACTTTAATTGTTGGAAAGGTTAGATACTAACCTAGACAAAACCTTGAAAGGTTAGGGAACGAATTCGCCGGAAAAACACCCGTTCTAGGGGCTGTTTTCGTATCGACATTTAGGGGTTGAGCTAGCACTTTGAGGAGGCTGTTTAACACTCATATTTAAGCAAGGAAATCAGTTCTTAATCCACCTTGACCGGAGCTTGGACCATTGGATCAAGAAGGAAAAGTTTAAAGCTCAATTAAGGTGAGGATCGACATCTAATTGCTTACAACTTGTAAGTTAAGCATGAGATTACCTAGATGCCTAAATCATGATTTTTCATGGATTATGATGCCTAAATATTGATGAAAAAATGGATATAGTTGACAATGAATGAAATTGTAAATGATTTGAGGTTGTATGGATAATATGAGATTAAATGAGTTATTAATGAACTATTTTGTGAAATAGGCATTTTACTCATGTATTAAATATGTGGATACATAAATGGATATTTATGTATTGAAGTTGAATATTTAAGTTGCTGCTACATACTTATAAATATGTAGAGAATTACAAAATGCTGATATTTGTATGATGACAATAATCTTAATAGTATTGAAATACTAGTTAGTGATTATTTGAAATTGTTGATAGAATTGATCCTAAGTATTGGATTGTATGAAATGCACTTGAATGTACTTCAAGTGTATAAAATGACTTAGTATGAAACTAAGGGTAAGTTATGGTCAGTCATTAAGAATGACCCAAGGTAGATTATTGAGATGTCAATTCTAGGCATAGGTTTGCTTAGGAATTGGACTATAATGAAGAATTAGAGCCGGACTCTACGATTGCATGGAAACGTAGTTGGGTCGAGCCCTTGCCATGTAATTGTGATTTGCATGGAAACGTAGTTGAGCCGAGCCCTTGCCATGTAATTGTGATTTGCATGGAAATGTAGTTGGGCCGAGCCTTTGCCATGTAAATTGTGACTTGCATAGAAACGTAGTTGGGCCGAGCCCTTGATATGCAAATGTGATAGGATGTACTTGACATAAAGGATTGCATAGAATTGTAGTTGGACCGAGCCCTTGATATGCAATAGTAATGTGATGAACTCTATGAGTTGTCATGACTAGTAATAATGGGGAACGGGAAATGGTGATTTCTAAATAAACATGGGCCTACGGGCCGACTACTTGACTTTGATATAAAGTGAGTATATTTTTAAATGGGGTAACTTGAGGTTACAGTCATATCATACTATCACCCTATTTGAGGGTCTTATGTTTGAAATACTTGTTGTATATCCCTTAGATGTCATCCACACCAGTACTTTATAGCCCTATAGAGTACTGACCCCTTCGGGGGCATCCCACCACCATTTCAGGTTGAGGCTAGAGCTTGCTTCCTGTGCTCGTTGATCGAGTGATTTCCCGGAGAGAATACTTGGTTCGTGCTTCCTCCATTCTGATTTGAACACTAATAAATTTGCTCATGGATATTTTACTTTAGAGCCTGCGTGCTCATGTTTGCCCCGTGTGGCATTTGATTTCGAACTATGTTTTCCGCTGCGTATTAAATTACTTATTATGTATTTTTGTGGATGACTTACGTGTGAATGATATTCATGACGCCTTGTATAATATGAATGTGTTTGACTATGATTGACTATTCGTATTGTACGGCGGGTTGTTGACGTGTCCGGGTAGATCCGGGGCGTGACAAAGGGAGCCTTTAGATCTATTCCATAAAACTACATCTACCTCTTTAGGAGTAGAAGCACATGTTCCAGTGTTCGAGTCAGGGGCGTAGCTAGGGGAGGGCAAACCCTGGCCCTGACCCAGCCCAAATTTAAAAAATGTTTATATTTTTAGAGTAAAAAAATCCGTGTAAATTTTTTTCAAAAAATATTCTTTATATCGGTCATGTCCGGCCCAGTGCTCTGGCTCCGCCCCTGGTTCGAGTAAAATTGCAAAAATACTTCCGAGTGTTCTAAATTGCTCATATAAACAGTATTTTAGAAGCAGATTGATCAATTTATGAAAAACTGATTATCATTCTTCTTACATAGTATGTTTTAAGTAAATAAACAAAAGGAAAATCAGATCCAAACGCTCCAAATTGGAAAGAAAGAGCATCTAACTATTAACACTCAAAGTACAAATAATTACTACGGTACAAATTATATTTTACAAAGTACTCTCTCCGTCCCATAAAATAGTTCTTGCATTGACTTGTATCAGACTTTAAAAAAGTGAGAATAAACTGAAAATGTAAGACTATAGTTGAGTAAGAAAAATATAAATAAGTGTAAATTACACAAAATTTTCCAAAAGGAGAAATAAAAACAATTATTTGGAACGATCCAAAAGAAAATGGAGACCTATTTTGTTTTGGCTAAAGGAGAAATGTAATTTATTACAAATCAAAACTGTGTATCTCTACATCCCGCTGAGAGTTCAGGCAAGTAGGTAGCGATGGGGGCTTCGTAACTTTTCTTTTTAAATCGCTTCGTTTCCCACCTTCCGTCGTTTTTGTCTATGGTCGTCGTCAATCGACGAAGATCGACGTTTTAGCGATTTCGCGGTATAGCTCGTCGTTCCGGCGATCTTGATGTGATTCCCGATTCCATGTACGATACAGATCGCCCCTCCACATTCTCCCCGTAATATCGTCCGGTCTTACGAGCGAGGCAACTCGCGATAACAGCATTGCGTATAAGGTTTACTGTACCACAATTTCAGATCTAACAAGACCTCACACTCTTTTGGTGGAATCATCGGCCAATGAGGCATGCAAATATGCAAAATATTGGTGGGCAGTCGATGCGAATCACACGTTCTAGGGCTAAATCATTTGCCTCTTCTGATGGACTGCCCCCTTTACATCCTTCAGGCATAGAGAATGGGAAACAGGTCCAGCGAGCAAGCCGCAAAAGAGCAGCATCAGATGAAAACATTTCAATTAGTGGGGCCCCTTATGTTCAATCGAATAAAAGAGCAGTTCTTAGAAATGTCACAAATGTAGTCTGCGAGAATTCGTACTTGAACTGTATGCCTGGAACTAAAGTTCAGGTACCTTTTCTTCATACTGGGCTTCAATATACTTTTAAAAACTGAAAGTTCATTTCTCTATAGAGTTGTATGTGGTTGAAAATAAATTTGATGGTGGCAGGATGGAAAAAATCGGGACAAGAAAATGACAAAGGTGATACCTGCGGTGTTAGGTAAAAAAAGGGCACATGTTGTGGATGATATGAAGGAAAGTATAACTGAAGAACCAAACAATTTGAAGGTTGAAAAATCAGAATGTAGCTCATACACAAACTGTAAGCAGAATGCATTAGCACAGAAAAACAATAGTGCCACCATAGGACAAAGTACGGTATGTGGTGTTATGCAATTAGTGAGGTGCAACTCCAAAATTGTTCCACAGACGACTACACCACCAACCGGTAAGATGTTCATAATATTCAAAATATGCAACACATAAACATTGTTGTTCTTTTTTATGCATACCGTTCTAGGATTCCCGGTGCAGTTGAGTAGTTTTGACAGATTTATTAAGCCACCTAATATGTGTTCGATTAGTAATGTCTGGTGTTTAAAGCAGCTGTCTGGTATCATATACCTCCAATAATTGGTAATGCTGTTCAAGTTACTTGTTGCAGATGATGGCAAAATTACCCCAAAGATAAATGACTTGGCTAGTCTGGGAATTACAGATATAGATACAAATCACATGGATCCACAACTGTGCACTCTGTATGCTGCTGATATATATGCAAATCTGCATGCTAATGAGGTTTGTATAAATTTCATTGTTGATCATAGTTATACCAATAATCTTCAAATATTGATGCATTCTGAACATCACATCTTGGAATATGGTTTCATTCTAACTTTTCTATTGCCCTACCCCCTTCCTGGCTGCCTCTGTCAGCTTGACCGGAGACCCTCTGTTGATTACATGGAAAAGCTTCAGCGAGACATTACTGAAGGTATGCGGGGCATTCTGATTGATTGGCTTGTGGAGGTAAGTTGTACCTTTTTATGTTTCTATTTGCTTCACATTGTCATGATGTCTTCTGTAACATTTTGCATCTTCACATTGATATTTGCTGCATGACCCATTCTCTATTTAAATACAGTTATGTTTTCTCATCATTGATAGACTAATAAACTATGTGCTAGTATATCATTCTAGAGTTGGTTTTCTAAAATCCAAGGTCATTTCATTTGAAAAGGCTCAATGTCAGTATAGGACAATTGGTGCTCACTATGTCTATGCAAATAAGATTTTTTCTGGACAATAGTTCTTGTATCTTGGTATCATCGTATGTTGATTCATAAGTGTATTAACTTTCAGGTTTCTGAAGAATACAGGCTGGTTCCAGACACCCTTTATTTGACAGTGAACCTTATTGATCGGTTTCTCTCAGAAAACTACATTGAGAAACGAAAACTGCAACTGCTTGGCGTTACATGCATGCTAATTGCGTCGTAAGTTCTTCATGTTGTTTGGAACTGTCTGCACATCAAGAGAACATTTCATTCCTGTTTACCTGGCAATTCCACCTGAGTTCAGCTATATAAAGGAAAAAATGTCACATATGATTAGGCGCAAATATGCAGTGATCTTCCTAGAATTGGATTTTAGATAGAGAAGTTCTACAGAAACTCATCAGGAGTTTTGAAATGATGGAGCTAATGCTATTAAGTTATAAAAGCCACTTTTTTGGTTTATTTCTTCATTTTAAGGCTAGTTTGTACTTAACTACTTACTACCATTCTAGATAAATACTGATCTCTCATTGTTGGCTTCAGAATTAGTTGAAGTTCTTACTTTTCTGTTAGATGCTGATGGCTGAATATGTTAAATATAGAAGTATTAAACCTAGTTTTGCTGTAGTAGTCTTACTCCAACACGAGTCTAGTATACAAGAAGATCTGTATTCTAATTTTTTATTAAAAGAAAAAAAAGATATTTTGGGATTTAGGTGGTAAAATCCCCGAAAATGATGATACCACAACAACAACATCCAAGCCTTATTCCCAAAAGATTTGGGGTCGGAAAACGTGAATAAAAAGATAAAGTAAGATAAGATAGATTTGATAAAGATAAATATAAGATAAAAATAACATAAGAACATAAGACAAATAAAAGATAAAATGATAAAAGAGCCGAAAATAAAGATGATGATGAAAAATGAAAACGGAAATAGTACCAAAGCTTTCTACTTTTGAATTTGTTTTTGTACTTCGTTATTGTATATTTATACTTCCTCTGTCCGTATATATAAACTTTGCACTTTGAATAGCACACATTTTAAGGAAATATTTTTTTCCGTTGACTTGCTGAAATGCCCTTTCTGCTGAGGGTAAATTTTACGGTACAATGCACTATTTTGACATTCTTTGGCATTGTCTGACATTGTTTGTCACTGACAGTCATTATTACTCAAGGGTAGTATTGTAAATGTATAGAAATGTGTTTTCCAAGTAAGGAAAGAGGAGACTTTATTTAGGGACATCCAAAAAAGAAAATGTGGGAAGTTTTTTTAAGGGATAGAATAGGACCATCCTAATGGGTTCATATGCAAGAGTGCATTGACCATCGGAGTCTGTCATCCTGTTGCAACATTCAGAGCCTGCATCATTTTTGCAGTAGTTTCCGTAAACTAACATTTTCCTCCCTCTACTCATTTGCCTTTTTAGAAAGTATGAAGAAATTTGTGCACCACGCGTTGAAGAATTTTGTTGTATTACAGACAATACATACTCGAGAGAAGAGGTATACTTCTAAAGAATCCTTTTTTTCGATAATAAATATGGAAATATGTACAGTTCATTGTTATCATTCAAGTCGAGAATCTTTTATTATTTCCTCTTGATTTATTTCCAGAAAATGGTTGTAAGCATAGAGCATAGCAGTGGTATAATCCATGCATCAAAAGAATGTTCAATGAAACTTTGTATTCCATTTTACTTGGCAGGTTGTTAAAATGGAGAGTCATGTTCTCAACCTTTTGGGCTTCCAACTTTCTATTCCTACAACCAAGAAATTCCTTAGGTACTAAAATTAGCATATTTACTTCTTCGATATTTGTCCACTGCAAACACTCTGTTTACTTGGTTCACTGGCTCTCACCATATATTTTTGTGAAAAATTCTGATTCATAGGAGGTTTGTTCAAGCAGCACAGACTTCTTATCAGGTAGTAAATTATAGAGTGTCTCATTTAGTGCGCATTTATATTCTCAATGATGTATTAATATAGAACCTAAAGGAGAATTGTTCTGAAATGCAGGTTCCTTCTGTTGAATTGGAATTCATGGCAAATTATTTGGCAGAGTTAACTCTTGTTGACTATAGTTTCCTTAAGCTTCTCCCTTCTCTTATTGCTGCTTCTGCTGTATTTCTTGCAAGGTGGATTCTTGATCAGTCCACACACCCATGGGTATGCATATTTTCCACCCTACAACATATTTTTAAGTGTTGTATTTGAAAGGGCCGTAATAAATGCAATGTAATCAAGTTTATGTGTAATGCAAACAGTTGTCCACATTCTCGTCCAAGGATGTAATCAAATACTTATTTCATTTTCCTTTTTGGCAAATAAAGAGCTTGATAACTGACTTAAATTTCAATATGTTTTCATGTTCATTCCTATTATGTTTAAAGATTTGTACACATCAGAACAATTACACAAAACACAGGAGAGTTTGATTTCATTATAGTGTGTGCTATTATGGTCTGGAAACGATACCTTAAATCATTGATTCATATTTGAGAATTGGTTTTCTCTTGCAGAACCCAACCCTTGAGCATTACACCAGGTACAAGGCATTGGATCTGAAAAGTACGGTTTCAGCTTTGCAAGACTTACAGCTGAACACCAAGGGGTCTTCTCTAAATGCCATTCATGAAAAGTATAAGCAACCTCAGGTAACTTATTATGATCCTGGTGTACATGTTTACAGCATATCTGGTACAAGTTTTTGAACGAGATTATTGAGATCGTAGGATACGCATCAAAATAATTTGCTTCTTATACAATGTAACAAAGATATCAATGCCCTGCCTTCTGTCTCAAACTCTTTCTTTGTCCCACCGAAAAGAGCCAAGTTTGATCAATAAAGTTAGTTTCTCCTGTAATTTGCAGAAGGAAAGTTTTTTTTTGAAAGCAAAATAATCAACTACTATTAATCAACTCATTAGTCAAAGCAGAAACAACAGAACTAGGAGGAACATCAAACCAGACTTGGCAATCAGACAAAGAACCCGCTACTCTAGCAAACTCGTGAGCAACGTGATTCACAGATCGCCTTACATGAGAAATACCAATGCTATTAAAACTAGCTATAACTTCTCTTATATCACCCGCAATTAAACCAAAAGAAGAACTATTCCCGTGAATGATCTCTGAAATAGCATGTAGCGCATCCGATTCCACTTCCACATCGTCCCATCCTTCCGAGTGAATCCAAGATAACGCCTCTCTGATGCCAAGCAACTCCCCTTCCCTAGCTGAGCACTGGCCAAGCCACGGTTTAGCCACCCCTGCCACAAAGTTCCCTGCTGAGTCACGTACAACCCAGCCCAACCCTTGCCTACCCTTGCCTTGCTCCACTCGTCAAGGAAAGTTATAAAAGGGTTACCTAGGCTAAATCAGATTTAACCAAAACAAGTTTAAACAATACAGCCGCCTATACATCCGCAAATTTATTTTTTGCTTGCTATTTATTTTTCACATGCTTGTTGTGCTATTGTAATCAGATGGTTGAAGACTTATTTAGGAAAGGGAAAGAAATAATGTCAGCACACGATTCTTTTTTAAATGAATGTAGAGATAGTTTGGGGAGGGATCATCACTATAAGTTTCCTTAATGATTTATATCAGGTCTAATTTACCAAGATTTGAAAGATGCATCTCTAAAAGAAAATTACTATACGCGCCATATATATTGAGGCAGAAAATGTATTTTTTTGGCATAAGAAAATGGAATTTTAAAACTCGCTAGTTAACTGGACCCAAGGTCTGTCTTATTAATACTATTTCTTAACTCTTGCAGTTCAAGTGTGTGGCGACAATAACATCACCAAAAGCAGATTTATCTATGTTCTAGAAGTATCAGAGATAAAGCTTGCAGTTCAAGTGTGTGGCGACAATAACATCACCAAAAGCAGATTTATCTCTGTTCTAGAAGTATCAGACTCACCCATGCTGCTGCTGCTGCTTCTACTGTCTATTGGTATTAGATGTCCTTCGCCTACCCTCCCTAAGTGTCAGATAAAAGCTCTCATTCATTTGTTCATTCCCCTCCATTCTCAAATGGCTAATGCATCTGTTAGATCAAATTTTGGTACAAATGTTAACATGGGATTTTCAGATGCAATTATTCTAAAGCACGATGGTGTTATTAGACTGCATCACTGTATCTAGGAAAGCCTTGTAGTTAAGAAGAAAGCTAAAGCAGCAGATGCATAGTTTAGTTGCTGCCTTAAAGGAGCTACCTAAGCTCCTTGTGTACAAACAATTCCAACTCTGGTGCTATTTATCACTACTGCTCAATATACTTGATCCATTATTTTTTTTTTTTAGAAAAAAAACGATCCCAATAATCCATGCCTTGTGCATTTTATCAAGATGATGTAAATTCTTTAAATCAGACAATAAGATAGCTAATGTGATTTTGTAAAATCTTTAAATCAGATAGGTAAGATAGATAATGTATCAATTATGAAAAAAATTGTGAGATACTTCCTCATAAACAACATGGTCTCAACCTCTCATTTTCAAGATGACATGATAATCCTGAGACAACACATAATTGTTCATGGCTCAAAACAAGATTCTTTAATAATAGACCAACATGAGGTGGGAATTCGTGTTGACTTTCATGGATAGTCATTATGGCCTTGTTTGGTTGGAAGATTTCGGAGGGGAGGGGAGGGGAGGGAAGTGAGTGATTTGTGTGTGTTTGGTTGAAGGAAATTGGGGGGAAGGGGAGGAAAGTGGAAAGCTTCCAAAATCCTTCACTTTCTCTCATTCTAAATTCCCAAATTGGGGTATTTCGGAGTAAACGTGTTAATAATCACAAACTATCCATCTCCTATGTGAATGGACAAAACGTTGTGATATAAAAAGGTAAAAAAGGTAAAAGAAAAGGTTAAAAAATTAAAAAATTTAAAAGATCAAAAAATTAAAATTAAAAAGTTAAAGAATAAAGAAATTAAAAATTCAAAAATAAAAAATTCAAAAATGAAAAAATATAAAATAAAATTAAAAAATAAAAATTACTCCCTTTATACTGAAAAGGTTTGCCAAATTTCCTTTTTTGGATGTCTCCAAAAGATTTGTCATTTCTATTTAAAGTAAGGAATATGTGATCAAAGTTAATTCTCTCTCCTCTGCACAAATTTCAACTACACAGTTTTTACTTTATTAATCCATGTGAAAGTCAAAGTTGGCGAACCTTTTCGGGACAGAGGGAGTATAAAATTAAAAATTATACTCCGTAAAATTTAAAAAGTAAAAACAATGTTACTACGTATGACTCATGACCTTAGGAGTAATATTTACAATAGTTAGAGATGTATCTTTTTTTAATAAGCCATCTAACAAAGGTAAATTGAGAAAATATTTTCATTAAACCTTCCCTTTTATTTTCTCAAACCAAACACAAATTTTTATCAAAATTCTTCCTTCTCCTTCCCTTTCCTTCCCTCATTGACCGTCCCCTTCCCTCCCCTCGTTTGAACCAAACAAGGCCTGTTGTCATTGACCGTCCCCTTCCCTCCCCTCATTTGAACCAAACAAGGCCTGTTGTCGTCTTTGAAACATAAAAGGAATTCTAATGTCAAAAGTTGTAAGGAGATTCTCAATATCAAGACTTTCCAACTTGCACTAATACCAGTTAGAATTTTGCCTTCTAATATATGATCACAAAGTCTTGGAGAAGCGGATATAAGAGAAATGTTGGAAAAGCGGCTTCCATTAGTGTAGGATAAGTTATTGTGAAGCGCAGTTTGAAATTGAACATTTTGTAGTTTCATTTATATTATCATCAATCTTTTTAGCATCTACAATTGCAACGATTTTTTGATGCATTATACCAAGATACGTAAAATGAGTAGATGTGTTAAAGACAGGCCAGTAACATTATAAAATGATGTAATCATGATATTTTTCCTAAAATATTACAAACGGAAAATTGATGAACAAAAAGTAGGGTTGGACTCGGACCGGGCGGCCCGAACCGGAACCGGAACCGGCCTGGCCCAGTCACTGTTTGAACCGGCCCAGCCCATGGGTGGTTCAGGTCGACCCGGCCCGGTGGCTACCGGTTCCGGGCTCGGGCCTTCATTTTGGTGAACCGGCCCGGCCGGTTCGGGCCCGGTCCGGGCCGGATTTAATTGTTTTTTTTTGAATTTTTTTTTTAGTTTTTGGGTTGGATTGGGTATTTTGAGCCATTTGAGGTGGTTTGGGGTGGTTTGGGGTTGAGGGGGAGGGTAGGGGGTTGATTAGGAAAACCCAAAAAAAAAAATTATATAGAACCGAACCGGGCCTGGCCCGGCCCGAACCGGACCCGGGGTTACCCGGGCCGGTTCCGGGCCTCCCCTACCTTGAACTGAGGCCCGGCCGGTTCAAGGCCCGAACCGGGCCCGGCCTGGAACCGGTCCACCCCTAACAAAAAGTGAGTAAACTTGCTGAGTATGCTTTTGGAAAATGTTTTTTGTACACTGACATACGACATTGTACACACCGGTCAAATTGTCTGTGCCCAGACAATTTGACTGGCGCTTTGTGAAGAAAACTGATTTTCACACAGACAAACAAATTGTCTATCATAGACAATTTAAAATTTGTCCGTGACATAGACAACTTAAAGTTTGCCCATACGAAAATCGATTTCCTTTACAAAACGCCGGCTAAATTGTCGGTACACAGACAATTTGACCGGCATATACAATGACGTGTACAATGCCATGCATGAAGCATCATTGTATACTTTTATAGTCATTACCAGTGTAAAATTTGAAAAAGTGACTAAAGTTACTAAGGATTATTTAAATTTGGCTTGAATTTGTTTAGTCTAATGATCTACTCTGGTATAATACAAGTCCTTTTTTGTGTGTATTTTAATATTGGCCAAGTTTGGCATGATCTCAAATGAGTTGCGACAAAAATTAATTAAATTAAAAAAAATGACATGTATATTACTAACAGAGTTTCCTCGAATAAAATATGATCAATTATGTTTTTGGACAAAAATATGACTAGTCATTGTGTACGAGTGAGTAACTAAGCAAGAGTTATCATAGTACATTTCAGAGTGACAAATAACTGGTAAATGACAAGTTAATGAGAATTAGTCATTGTATACGCCTCTTTAAAATAAGCCATATTTTTATGCTTTGAATTTAATTTAGTAATATTCATGGAAAAAGGTTTATGAATGTGATGTTTGATTGTTGCTTAGTCCCAATAGTTCTTCTACTTTTTTTTTGTATCCTGCAATTTATTTTTATTAAGAGAACATATCAATTACCTCAATTGCACTTCATAAGACATTTAAACGATACATACAAAAAAGGAATGAGCTAACATACATAAGTTTTTAAAACAGAAACAAACTTTAAATTTATCTTTATACACAAAGAATGTATTCTTCACATTTTATGCTTAATTGTTAAAAAAGACGGTAACTTTATGTTTGCTGACATATAGTTCAAGTTTAAATTTATCATTTTCGTTTCTTTCTACTATCTCCAACCGTTGAGATTGGGACAAGAGGAGTGACACGGTTATTAAGAAAAATACAATCATGATTGATACAGAGTATTAAATTAATAAAATGTGAATAAAGTAAAATGAATTAAGATCACTCAAATATCATCTAATAGTCTAATACTATCGTACTACGTATGTATGAGACATACTTAATGTTAAAGAAAGAACAAACTAATGTGACTAAGATTGTGAGTGAGAGGAAGTAATAATTTTCTATTAATATTTGTTGTTGCAAGTTGGGTTGTTTTTTCAATTATTGTGTCACTTTTAAATACGAGTAGACAACATTTTTCTAAAAAGAAAAGGGAAAAATCCGGGGTAGATAAATCAAACCGCAATTTCATGTTTTGAAAGATAAAACGAAACCAAACTTTTATCTCGGTTCCATATACTCGTATAATTTTTGGTCAAATTAGCCTCCAAAAAATTGAACCCATCCCTAAAGGATACAAACAAACTATTCCCTTGGATTAATTGCATTCTCAAACCAGGCCATACAGTTCAAATTAAACCAGACTAAACGAATCAGCAAAAAACATGCTTAAACATAAGTTACAAAACCAATAAAATTTCGATAGTCCTATTACACCAGACCAAACTAGAGATAAGCAGGTCAATAATTTTTTTATGGGAAAAGGTGCAAATAAGCCCTCGAACTAATCGAAAAAGTGCAAATAAGCCCTTTTATAGGAAGCTCTGTCCGGCCGTCGCCATTTGGGGCGGTTCCATGTAGTGTTTTTTTATGAATTTTTTTGAGCATATTCTTCACTAAGTCTAGTTTACCCATACCAAATTTTAGTTAAAAATTTAACCGGGAAGGCAGCCAAATGATTTTCTGAATTATACTGCGCTGTTTAACTGCTCAGTTATCTTCAAGCATTTATTTGACTGCCTTTCCAGTTGAACTTTTAGCTGAAATTTGGTATGGGTAAACTAGACTCAATGAAGAAGATGCTAAAAACATTTCATCAAAATATTCCACTGGGAACCGCCTCAAATGGCGACGGCCGGACAAAGCTTCCTATAAAAGGGCTTATTTGCACTTTTTCGGTAAGTTCGGGGGCTTATTTGCCCCTTTTCCCTTTTTTTATTCCAAATGAACACGTCCGAATAATAGCCGCTTGGGTTCCGAATGATTAATATGTTTGAATATGAAATTAGCTAAAGAGCAAGGCAAGAGACAAATTAAATAACAGGTAACCCAAGAACTACTATGCAAAAATGAATGAATCCTTCATCCGTAGCTGTGTCTCTTTCCTTTTTAAGAAAATGATTTAGTGATTGAAGTTCTTTCTCTCTCACTCCTAAACAAATTCAAAAAAATTGTTTGTACCCACCCTTATACTCATTTTTATACCTACCATGTTTGTGCAGAGCTTCTTTTTGTGTGTGAATCTCGGTCTCAGACAAAATATGTCTGTGCAAATTATTTTGTCTGTGAATCGGATTCACAGACAAAAAAAAAACTCTTCACAGACATGATGGGTATAAGATGGGTATAAAAGTCCAAACAAATTTTAATCACAAAAATTATTATTCATTATGTATAAAACCAATATCGAATTAATATCAAGAGGAAGTATCACAAATGAATTAATTGATGGTTCAGTAATGTCTACATTGGTGGTTTGTCAAATACTGCCTTCATATAAAAAAAGTGCAGTGTCACACTTTAAAAAAAATTGAATCATTTTAAAATAAGTGTCACACTTTCATTTTTTGAAAGAAATATACCCCAAAAGTCACTTTAGTAAAGTAAAAAGTACTCAATAGTACCAAAAAGTATACTTTAAAAATATAAAAAATAAATCTAAAAATCATCTTGGATTACGTGAACAACCACCTAGGAAGACGCTTATTATGATTCGGAGGGAGTAAGTTTTTTTTGTTTTATTCTCTTAAATAGATTCTCATTTCCTGTATTATGCTGTAAAATCAAGTTCATTTTCCTTTTAGGGAATGACTCAATAATCTGAATGGTATTGCTTCACTCTTCTAGCTAATACCTTGGAACCACTCAATTCAAAACCAAGTCCATCAAATAAGCTATTCGCGTTGAACCAAACATTTAATTTCAACTCAAACAGGGAAAAGAGTAAACAAATGTGCACTTTTACAGGAAAAATTAGATGCAGACATGCAGTCATGGTCTAAGAGCCCCGATTGTCACAAGGATCTATTTTGGCTGGATCAGATCACATTATAAGCAATTTAAAGCCCCCTCAGATAATTCGCTCCAACTCCCTTGCATAACTGAGTGTTTGGTTGATAAGCTGCAAAGATAAAGAAAAGGCAAAAGTTAACTTTAACATGCTAAACAGAAAAATCTAGGGGTGGGCAAAAATACCGAACCGACATGATACCGAACCGGACCGGTATGGTACCGGACCGATAAACGGGGTTTGAAACGGATCTCAAATTTTTTTGTCCCGAACCGGACCGAACCGGTTCCAAACAATGCCATGACCGGTTCTCATAAAATGAGAACCGGTACCGGACCGAAATATGGTTTATCAAATTTGTACTACTATAGTTTATCTAAAATATATTAATTACCTCATCCCGTCCCAAAATGATTTGCAAAGCCAACATTTTTTTGTCAAAGTTAATGTTAAGTTCTTGATAATTAATACAATTTTTAATAATTAAAATTTACATATTTAGACACCACATTAAAGTCTCTCTAAAGTTGCAAAATCCAAATTAAAATATACGAAGTACGGAGTAGTTTTTTTGAAAGACCAAATTAGAATATAATTAAAAAGTGAAATTCTAATTAAGTGAATAAAAAGAAATTGTTTGACCAAAAAAAGATTGACTTTGCAAATCAATTTGAAACGAAGGTAGTATGATATATGAAAATTGAGAAATTGTGTGGATTTTTTGGAGGGTGGCTAAACTTTAATTTTTTCTTAAACACCTGGAAAAAGTGGCATTGTTTGGTATTGGTATGACATGGTACCATCCCGTTTGAAAATGGACCGTACCGAACGCATTTGGGTCTAAGACCGAACCGTACCGAACCATTTCAATAGTAACGGTACGGGTACGGGTTCAGCCAAATATTGGACCGGACCGTGCCCACCCCTAGAAAAACCAACAAGTTTACTACTAGTACTATACATAATTTCAACAATATTTCAGGGATGCAAATTAAAGAGGTTACACCTGACAGTCTTGGCCAGAAGATCCATGAAATAAGCATAGGTTTCATGAGGCACTGCGTGCCTAGCATTCAACACACGGTTGTAATTAAGCTCCTTCCATGGACTGTTCTAGCTCAACAGCATGTTTTATGCAAGGATCCTCCAAGGCGTTAGGAGAAAGCAGCTCCAATTCAGTGTGGAATTCTGCAATCCTATTCTGAACAAGTAGTCTCAGAAGGTTGAGACCTAAAATGGGGTATTACTTTATTCATAAATATGTAAATAATTCTAATAATATGATAAGGAGTATTCAAGTTGGGTGTTCAATTTCATCGTTTGATAACAATGAAATTGGTTGAATGAGATACTTCAATTGAAATTTATGAAATTCTATCCGATTTAGCTGGATTGGCTTCCGCTGAATTGTAAAAAAAACTATATTTAAAATATGGAGTATATTTTATTGATAAAATAAAGAAAAATAGTTGAAATGGCCTTTTCCAGTGTATTCAATCAATATATATCTTTCTAGTTCTGGTTTAAATATGTTTTTAATCCCTGCAAATATAGTACACACATATAGTACTTTTTTACATCCCTGCAAAAGTAGTTTGTTTTTTATCCCTTCAATTTGTGCTGGTTTTCTTTTTTAGTTCATCACCGATGATAACAACTCAGCTTGACATCAAAGTAACCTGACTCATAGATTTTTCCTCTAATTGTTTCTCATGTTATTCCAAAAGTATATTATTTTATTTTTTGGAAGGTTTTTTTTTTTGTAACAAGGACTAGCGGCTTATATTAATAACAAAACATTCAGCAAGGGATACAAATGATAAAGGAAACACTTCCAGCCACCAACCCTCGGACCAGCTAGAGAACCAATCACCCTATCAAGAGCAATATGATTCGCTTGTCCTGTAATGGGTCTAAATGAGCCAAACGTGGCCAGAGCAAAACCCTCACCACACTCATCTAATGTAAGAGTCTGACAGACAGAAACAATACAAAAAACAACAACGACAATATTCATTCCTAAGAACCTCAAATAGAGTAAAACGAGATTAAATAAGATAAACTGACAGAGCGAACAAATTCTTGCTGCAAGCATCATCCTCGGCGGTGGCTCAGGAGGGGGACGGATCATCAGACCTTCATCCACCTCTTCGTCTTCTTTCGCCCGAGGACTCCTATTCAGAGCCTCTTCCTCACCCATGTCTTTCTCTTCAAGAGCTTCATCCTCAAACACCAATTTTCCTTCATTATTCCAAATCACCATGTCTCTGCATTTGTTAGCGATTTCTTCCATCATTTGAACGAAGAGAGACTGAGCAAAATCTGCCTCTATACTCGAAGCTAAAGCCGCTGCCCCAGAGAAAACTGCACTCAAAGACAACACGAAGGAAAAAGAAAACCAAGCTCCAGACTAATACCCCAAATCAAATGCCCGAACCAAACTATCCATCCCTTCCAGTCTTCCACGATCGAGAAGGAGTCGCCGCCGGGAGAAACACTAACCCTAATTACCTAGGGAGACGGCCGCACTTATGAAAAGTTGATAAATCTGTTAACCCTCATTCTTATTATATTTGGAAGGTTGTTAATATATATATATATATATATATATATATATATATATATATATATACCTCTAGAGTCCTGATCCTGTCCAGACGTCCGGACAGGAACCGCCGTCCGGCCGGCGGCGTTTGGCCGCCTTCCCGGTGGAATTTTTTGATGAAATTTTTATGGCATGTTCTCCATCAAGTCTAGTTTATCCACAAAACAATTCAGCCAAAAACTCAATCGGGAAGGTCGTCAAATGATTTTTGCAAGTTAACTGGTCCGGAATATGTATATTCCGGACCAGTTAACTTGCAAAAATCATTTGACGACCTTCCCGATTGAGTTTTTGGCTGAATTTTTTTGTGGATAAACTAGACTTGATGGAGAACATGCCATAAAAATTTCATCAAAAAATTCCACCGGGAAGGCGGCCAAACGCCGCCGGCCGGACGGCGGTTCCTGTCCGGACGTCCGGACAGGATCATTTGTGTATACCTCTATATATATATTATATTTTTAAAATGTTAATACATAGTTTTACATTGTCTTAACTCTCATATTAGCCTTAAAAAATTACTATCGTATAAAAGAACAAATTTAAAATTTCTATTAGATACTATCGTATATGCTACGGCATGTCTGTGTAACATATACTCTACTGTTTTGCTTAGAATCTAGTAGTAATAATTTAATGTAGTGTGTAACATGCATATACTGTTTTATTTTTATGCAGATTGCATATCTCAAGTCTATTTTTTGTGTGGCTGTTTTTGGATCATAATCCGTACTAAACAACCTAGATTTAATTCTAGTTAATAGTTCATTCTAATTTCAATATAATTTATTTAGATATTGCATTGAGTACTCTGACATTAAATTTTGCTATTTATTCAGTGTGGAATTCTGCAATCCTATTCTTCTAATAATAATAACAAATAAATGCATATGAGTACATAAGTATTAAAAAAACGTCTAAAAAACGTAGAAGGAAGACTAACTAAAGTTCAAGGTGAATAACATAAAGTACAATTAGATAATGCTTTAATGTTATTATACCAACACATTTTATATTCCTAAATTGCACTTACCTTCATTCACATTTAATTTGTTATCACATTTAAGTTTTTTAAAGAGGTACAAGACTTTGCAAACCATTATTAACACCCTCTTGTTATGTATTCATGTAGATATCAAGTGAAACTGCCGATAGGATAGTGAAAGTCTTAATAAAGCATTGAAAGAAAGAAAAACATAGTGGTAAGATGCAGATGAATGTGGCTTATTTCATTTTCAAGTTAATCAGTTAATCAGTTAATCACTCCACGTTTAAGTCCCTTTCTTCAAAATAAAAATATAAAGCAATGGGTTGAGTTCTGTGCAGCACACTGTTATAGCCTAGGGCAGGGCATGTGTCGAGAAAATGAAGATTTGGTGATGCCCATATGGTTCAATAGAGTGAGTGTTTCGTAACATAGTTCTAAAATCCCTATTCGAATGCTTTTCAGTTCATCATATCTGATCGGGAACCATAATCTGTACTTATCAAAACATGAGACCAAAATGCTTTACAACCATATTACTCTACGGTCGACACTAAGTTTGTCCGTTCAGATAGGGAAAAGCATAGCAGAGAGATCGAGGTTGCTTACCGCACAAATGGAAACGACGGGGGAGCTCGCCGAGGTTAGGGCGCGGGTTGCACGATGTGCGTGATAGGAGCCGCTGAGAGAGGAAGGCAGGTGCAAGTCGTCTGAAACTGGGAGCCTGGAAGGTCATTTGACGTTGAGTTAAGACACGGAGATGTTAGACGGATATAAAAACGGAGAAGAAGTTACGTAAGAAGAGTACATACGTTAAAACGTAGTGCACAACCTCATAAAACTGGATGATTACACCAACATTTTTTCCATCCCTAAAATGCCCTAACTCTCATTGGCTATTATAAGTTTTTAAGATTTAAGATATATATATATATATATATATATATATATATTATTTTTCTATAATATGATAATTAATCACTGATATAGTTAAGCATACTGCAAATGATTGAAAATAGCAAACAATTATAGTCAAGCACTTTAATACAAATAAATAAACATGTGAAGATGTAATTTTCTACATCTAGGATGATGAAGTTATTCAACACGATGTCATCCAGCTTCCCTCCACAGGAAGCTATACCTGAACCAAATAGCAAAATTTAATGTCAGAGTACACTGAAAAGGCCATTTCAACTATTTTTCTTTATTTTTTTAATACTTATTATTATCTACTTTGGAATGTCCGTGGCCTTGTTTCTTCCTGTCCAAGGCTACGGGATCTAATTAGACAGTGGCACATTAATTTAGTGGTTGTTATTGAACCTATTGTTGCACCTTCTCAAATTAATGGTATTTCTATGGAGCTTGGATTGAACAATTTCTTTTGTTGTAAGGAAAATAAAATCTGGTTTTTCTGGGATTCCAATTTTATTGATGCATCTGAATTTTCTGTGGGTGATCAGTACATTCATATGAAGATTACGTCAGGTTCTACTTCCTTCTGGTTTACTTCTATTTATGGGGATCACAGTTATATGAATAGAAGAACTCTTTGGTCTTTTTTAACTGGATGGGCTGCTAACAATAATGAACCGTGGATGATTGGTGGGGATTTTAATGCAATAGCTAGCCATACAGAACATAAAGGTTCTTCCATCCCTCCCCTTATTAGCATGACTGATTTTAAAGATTGCATAGCTGAGTGTGGTTTTGTGGACCTACCTTTTCGGGGCACTTCTTTTACTTGGTCTGGTGTTCGAACGCAAGGAAGATTATGGCGTAGGCTGGACAGGGTCCTATTTAATTCATCTTTCCTGGATCTCTATGACAATATTCTGATCAACCACCTTAATAAGACATCTTCAGATCACAACCCTATCCTGCTTCAATGTAAAAATCTGTTAGTTGAGGGGCCAAAGGCTTTTAAATTTCAGAATATGTGGGTTTCTCACCCTAAATTTTTTGAAGTGGTTAAAAGCTCTTGGAACTCTTGCCACACTGGTGGTGGTATGAGGGGACTATATGACAAGCTGCAGACTCTTAAGAGGGATTTGAAGAGCTGGAACAAAAATACCTTTGGCAACATTTTCAATGAAATTAAAAAACTGGAAATGGAGGTCTCTGAAGCTGAACAATTGTTTGAACAAAATCATACTGAGGTTAACAGAGAAAATTGGTCTTTCAAACAATCTCTCCTTCTTCACAAATATAAACAGGAAAGAGCTTATTGGAAGCAAAGGGCACATATTAAGTGGTTGCAGGAAGGAGACAGTAATACCAAATTTTTTCACTCCTTTGTGAAAGTAAGAAGAAGAATGCAACATTTAACTTCTATAAAAGACTCTGCTGGGAATCTTTTATCCGATTCTGAGGATATGGGGAGGGCTGCAGAAGACTATTTCCAAAATATTTTAGCTGAAGAACCAGTGCATGATATCCAGGAACTCCTGCAACACATTCCAAAGATTGTTGAAAATCAAGATAACATGATGCTTACGGGCCTTCCTACTATTGAAGATGTTAAAAAAGCCGTTTGGGATTTGAACAAACATGGTGCAGCAGGGCCTGATGGATATAATGGTTTCTTTTTTAGGAAATGTTGGGATATTATATGTTGGGATGTGGTTAAGGCTGTTCAGGATTTTTTCCAAGGAAATCACATTCCCAAAGCTATGGCCAGCACCCTAATTGTTCTTATCCCTAAAAAAGATAAAATATCTACTTTTGCAGATTTTAGACCTATTAGTTTATCCAATTTTATTAGTAAAGTTTGTACAAGGATACTTGCTTCTAGACTCAGCACCATTCTTCCTAAACTGATTTCTATTGAGCAGGCGGGTTTTCTGCATGGAAGGGACATCTCTGATCATATTCTTGTGGCTCAAGAAATGATTAATTCAATTGATAAAAAGGTGAGGGGTTCTAATTTAGTGGTCAAACTTGATATGGCCAAGGCATTCGACAGGCTATCATGGAAGTTTTTGCAAGATATCCTATCAAAATTTGGGTTTTCTGATGTTTTCGTTAACCTGGTTATGAATCATCTTAAAGCCACCTATTTTTCTGTGCTTATTAATGGTGCTCCTAAAGGTTTCTTCAAGCCTGGTAGAGGGGTCAAGCAAGGAGACCCTCTTTCTCCCTTCTTATTCATTCTTGCATCTGAAGCTTTCTCTAGAGGTTTGAACTACCTCATGTCAGCTAAAATAATTAAGCCATTCTGGATTGGTCAATATGGTCAGCCTACATCTCATCTTTGCTTTGCTGATGACATTTTGATTTTTATTAATGGGGAAACCAGATCTTTATTAAACTTTAAAAAGTTTCTTAATCTATATCAGAGGGCATCTGGACAGGCAATCAACTTCTCAAAAAGTAATTTTTGTTGTGGGAAAACTTATCTTGCTGGTGTAAGGAGAATGGAAAGGCTGTTGGGCATGACCAAGGTGAATTTGCCTATGAAATATCTGGGATCAGCCCTGCATAAAGGAATCAACAGAATCAGTTACTGTAAGGATATCTTACATGCTTTTGATAAAAGACTGACAGCTTGGAAACAAAGGCATCTTAGTCAAGGGGGAAGAATTGTTCTTATTAAGCATGTGTTAAACACCATTCCTCTCCATATCTTAGCAGTAGATACACTTCCTAAAGCTGTCATTAAGATACTGGAGAGGAAAATGTCTCATTTCTTGTGGGGTTCCAGAAATCAAAAAAGCAAATATCACTGGATTAGATGGAAGGATGTTTGCTTTCCTACTAGGGAAGGAGGGTTAGGCATTAGACTACTTACTGACATTGAAAAAGCTTATTCTCTAAAGTTGTGGTGGAAGTGGAAGTGTAATAGATCAATATGGGCATCTTTTTGTCACTCCAGATATCCTAGAGGACCTAATATGCCTCCCAAATGTACTGACTCTGTTATTTGGAAGAGGATATGCTCTATTCATCACACTGGAATTTCATTTATCTCAGAGG